GAGGAGGAGGAGGAAAAGGAGGAGGAGCAGAAGGAGGAGGAGGAGGAGGAAAGAAGGTGGAGGAGGAGTAGAAGAGGAGGAGGAGCAAAGAAGGTGGTGGAGGAAGAGAAGAGGAGGAGGAGGAGGAGAGGAGGAGAAGAAAAAGGAGAAAAAGAGAAGAAGAGGATTTAAACCTGCCATTTAAATCCATGCGTGACCCACTTTTCTCCCTGCCAGTGAGAAAGTCAACTCAAAGTTAAGGCAGAAATCCTTCAAAAGATCCTTTAGCGAATAAATCTGCACCTGTTTCCATGGAAATGGCTCGTTATGGCACAAGTAACAGGCCACCATTGCAAGGAATTTTACAAAGTCCAGTTAGAAATCTGTCAAAGAACCATTCGGGAGGCTAAACGAGAGCATCCTGTATCCGCCGGGGATTATGGTCATCAGCCTTTAGTACACCTGATACCCCTGATTAGAGAAGCTTTAAACTCCTCTCTGCTTTCTTCCAAACTGTTAAAACCACTTTATAATGCCTTGGAGAGGCCATTCTTAGAATTCTGCACCCGGTTTTGGTTGCCACGATGTAAAAAAAGGTGTTGATCTGGCATTTTCCGATGCTCAGTTGATGGCCGGCTAATTCAGAAGAGGATTGAATGGGTGATGTTTCTTTTCTACCCACTTTCTGGAGATGCGTAATCTGTAGTCTGTTTGGCCTGAAAAGTCGGATTGGTTGCGGGGGGCGGGGAGAGGAATAGCTTTTCTATCCCACCTCATCCTCCTACTGCAAAGTTCAAGGCAATTATAAAGTGTTTCTTTATACGGAAACTGTGTCTGTCAAAATCGCAGGCAGCGTGCAGCAGCTTGCAGAAAATGGCAAAAGAGAGAGAGAGAGAGAGAGAGAAATGGAGAACAAGAAGGTTCACAAATATCCATACATTAACATTAAGTCTTCACTGAAAGAGGAGGGGAAAAAAATTGACTTTCACAATGTCTCATGTTCGCGCAACAGTTCCTAAGAGCTTATTAGTGGCTGCTCCGATTGAAGAGAAAAGCATTTTCAGTTTGATTTAATCCAATACATATTTAATGCCTAGTTTGCACACTTGAAGATGCTACTCTCTTAAGCGAGCAGGAAGGGGATACGAGGGAGGGAGAAGGGAGGGAGTGTGCAAGAGAACCAATTGGGAGTGCAATAAATAATACATGAACTAAATACTCCCTTTCCTTCTTTTGATCTGAGGAAATCCCTCCAAAGGGGAGAGAAAGAGAGAGAGAGATGAGGGAGGGAGGGAGGGAGGGAGGGAGGGAGGGAGAGGGAGAGAGAGAGAGAAGGGGGTGGAGAGAGAGAATCATATAGATATAGTAGATAGATATCATAGATAGATTATAGATAGATGATAGATAGATGATAGAGATAGGTAGATAGATAGATAGATAGATAGATAGATAGATAGATAGATAGATAGATAGATAGATAGATAGATGATAGATAGATAGGCAGGCAGGCAGGCAGACAGACAGACAGACAGACAGACAGACAGACAGATAGATAGATATAGATGATGGATGGATAGATGATAGATAGATAGATAGATAGATAGATAGATAGATAGATAGATCTGGGCTTTATCAGTTATAAAACAAAAGATTCTATGATAGAACAATATATGACATGTTTTATCAATTACAAAATAAGTTCTATGATAACTCTGTGATCAATAGACACTGTATCAAAACTGAGTTCCGCAAATTTTCGTTGTCCTCCTTCAAGCAAAGAACTGGTCTCCTTCCATGATGGCTGGTAGCATAATCATGATCTGCATTCAGCACTAAGCTATAAATTACAAGTTAACCATCAGAATTGGATCGGCCCCTCACTCTAATAGAAAGAAAGAGAAGAAGAGGGTCACCAACAGCAAGATGGATGGAGACAATTACAGCAATGATGGGTACACCATTGTAAGATCTGAAGGACCAAGGCTGGTGGCAGAATTGTCTTGGAGGAAATCTACATGGCTGCTAAGAACTGACACCGACTTGATAGCATACAATCAATCAATCAGTTTGCATCACTAAATGTAACTTGATGGCCTACTTGGAGAGAAGAAGCGTCCCTGGATCTTATTTTGAAGAGATACTTTAAGAAAGGACTCTGGACCTCAAAAAAAAAGATGAATCAGTTATGTTAGTCCTTTTCTTGAAGAGCTACAATCTGATTTCCTTCTGTCAAGTTCAGCCTCAAACTGAGATCTAGTGAAATATCACATCAACAACAAAACAGCAGGATCGAAGATATAGTACCTCAAATGTATGAAGAAATTACCTCAAATGTATGAGGAAATTACCTCAAATGTATAAAGAAATTACCTCAAATGTATGAAGAAATTACCTCAAAGATATGAAGAAATTACCTCAAAGATATGAAGAAATTACCTCAAAGATATGAAGAAATTACCTCAAACATAAGAATGGTTGAAGAATTGGGTATGGCTAGTCTAGAGAAAAGAAGGACCGGGATAATGGGGTAGCAGTCTTCCAGAAGGCAAGAAAAAGGAACAATGGATGGAAACTCATCCAGGAAAGAAGCAACTTGGAATTAAGGAGAAATTTCCTACAGGGAGAACAATTAATCAATGTGCTCCATCACATTCTGATTGAGAAATACTTTGGGCCACAATCCCAGGTCCCCAAGCTGTTGCATCTGTTGATTTGTGGGGGCAATATAGGTTGTAGGCTGAGTAGGTTTACTCATTGGATTATGACTACAGTACTGGGTAAAAATCAGATACATTGCAGGGCATCAGTTGGCTGCAACTTTATTTACCTGCCTTTCTTCCTACCTCAAAGATGTCCCTGATTGTTTTTTGTACTCAGAAAACCAGGACCAGCATCTGCCAAATAAATTATTTGTGTCTTGGACTCTAAATATTTGTTTGCTCTTCACACTTTTCAAATAAATTTCATGAGGAATCCATTTGCTTTGCCTGAATATTGTCAACAATTTTCAGCCCATTAGGTTTTCATGGACTGCAAGAACAAAATTTGAAAACAGTATGATTCATGATCAACAGATGTTCCTCAAATTTTCTTCATCTAGACACAACCACCATCTGAAGTAAATCTTGGATGAATTCAGTACTGTCTTCTCGATACTGAAAAATGTGATTTATCCAACCCTAACCCCTAACCCCAAATCTCAAACCCTAACCCTAACCCCAAACCCCAAACTCTAACCCTAACCCTAACTCTAACCCTCCATATTTGAAATCATAAATTATGAAATGCAAAATACAGTCAATGCTGCAACTTACAGCTAGTTCTCAACTTTCAACAGTTCCTTTAGTAACTCTTCAAAGTTACAATAGCATGGAAGAAGCTATTTATGACCATTTTTTACATGTATGACTGTTGCAGCATCCCCTTGGTCACATGACCAAAATTTAGAGGCTTTAATAAGTTATCTTCTCCTCTTCCTCTTCCTCCTTCTTTCCCCCCCCCCCTTCTCTTCTCCACACTCTCTCCTAGCATTGATGATGATACCTAGTTGGGTAATGAAACATCTGCAAGAAAACAAGCAAGCTTAGAGAGCAACAAGGACCCTACAGTTGTCCTCCTCTTCCTCCTCCTGTTTTCCTTCTCCTCCGTTCCACACTCTCGCCTAGTACTGATGATGTTACCTAGTTGGGTAATGAAATGTCTGCAAGAAAATAACCAAGCTCAGAGAGCACACAGTCCTTCTTCTCCTTCTTTCTTCTCCTCCTTCTCCACAAATTGCACTCTCTCCTAGCACTGATGTTGTTATCTAGTTGGGTCATGAAATGTCTGCAAGAAAACAACCAAGCTCAAAGAGCACAGTAGACACATTCATTGCAGCACACCATCAGCCCCCTTCCCCAAAGGGTCAAATGCTAATCCAGATGTTGTGACTATCCTCACCACCTACAAACAGAAAGCGTACTGTTGAATTTATGGGTGCGGTGGGAAAAACCTTTGATTCCTAGCTCTATATACCTTCAGGCCCAATGGGAACTCAGGATATGATGGGGGGGAAAGTAGGGGTCTTGGAAGTCTGGGGTCAAGCCAAGCCCACCTGAGATTTCCTTGAATAGTTCAAGCAAGGATCTGCTTTGTTATCTGACTGACTCAGTTTGACCTTCAGGAACCAAGCAAAGAAACAAGCTCGTAGAACAGAAAGAATTCCACTTCCAGAAACCTTTTTTCAGAAAGAATGTGTCTTTGGCTTACTTGAGATTTATTTTTATCTAAGTGGGGGGGAAAGAGTTGTTAAGAGGAAGACAAGTGTGTTCCTTTGCTTAAGAAGAATTGTGGTGCTTCACTCAGCTGTCTGTACATATGTGCTAGACTCCTTAGGAAAAATAAAAACCGATGTAGCTTTAGCACAAAATTTTCCAAACAGGGCAAATTTAAGGTGGGTGGGCTTCAACTTCCGGCAGTGGTGGGTTTCCAAATCGTTTCCTACCAGTTCTATGCACGGTTCTATGTCCATGCACTTTGTGCGTGCCCTGTAGGCTCAAAGATAGACCTCTGTAAACACGGATGAGCTGTGCTGTTTTTTAAGCTCAGCTGAGTCATGCTTTGCCATGCAAATCAGCTGAGCTAAAAAAACAAGGGAGTAGAGGAGAAGGAAAGGCAGGGCCGGGGGTGTGGTATTTGCCAGTTCTCCAAACTAGTCAAAATTTCTGCAACCGGTTCTCGAGAACCGGTCTGAACCGGCTGAATACCACCTTTGACTCACAGAATTCTGGTAGTTTGTGAAGTCCATCCATCTTAAACCTTCTAAGGTTAAAAAAACAACAACATTGCTTTAATAGCAGATAACGTATCTGTTGAGTTAAGGGAAAGGCCCCTCAATTTAAAAAAACAGGCAGGAAATCAGAAATTTAATTTTGGGGTTTTTTAAAAAAATCTAGTTTCAGGTCATCCGCAACCTAGGCCCACAACGGAGCCTAGGTCTTTGATTTCTCTTTTGAGAAGGGA